ACAAAAGTAGTTTTGCGGACCAGGAATAGTCTAACAAAAATTTTAATTATTTTTCCCGCGATAAGTTCAAAATTATGGAATTTTTGAGACCTATTCCGAAGAGATTGCAGAAAATATTTTTTGAACATATTGTACTGTGATCAAGATTTTCAATTGCTGGTAGGGAACTGAGCGTTTTCAAAAAAATTATTTTTTATTTTTCTCGTATTTAGTACATTAATACGCATCGTTTGAGTGGTATTCCTCCAAAAAAGTTGTCCCCGGAACATCCTAATATACATATATTATTAGGCTTCGTTTCAAAAAACAAAATCTTTCCCGTTTATATGATATCATAACTTTTTAGAAGGATTTTGTATCAGTGATCACAGTGCTATAATCTTTTTTTTTTTTTAATTCCAACACTTTTAACTGCATATCAGAGCCAGAAACCACTGATTTTGAATGACATTTTTTACAGAGCAGAAACCGCAGATTTGATAGAAAATCATGCCTTAATAATTGATTTTATAGGAAAAATCAATATGAATGAGCTTAAAAGTAGATTTTGTATTATCCAAAGATGCTCTTTTTTCAAAAATATTTTTTCTTTGCGCATAATCAAAGTATGCTTTTGCTGACAAAAATTGTGCAGAAACAAAAATTCTATCATTAACCCTTTAGATTTGATGATACTTTAAATGTTCAGATTTGAAACTTTGCAACTCTATATATGAAACATTAATTTGGTGGAGTTTTATTAAATTTGGGGGTGATGATGAAAAAAAACATTTGTTTGATGGGAAATTATTAACCCACAAGTAAAAGTTATTAACATAATAACTCCTAATCGGAATGCAATAAATTAAAATGTTAGCACTATTTTTAAGAGCATTGAATATTATATTTGCGATTGATAAAATCTAATTTTGATTTTTCTATACCCACTATCAAAAAAGATGGGGGGTATATTGTTTTTGTCATTCCATTTGCAACACACCCTTCAGCAAATAATTTTAACGCTCTACTGGCTTAAAAAACGAGTATAGAAATAACGAGTATAGAAATACATAAATATGTTTCTTATAAGACAAAATCACTCTGCCAAATTTTATGAGTATAGGTCCATAATTGACCCTTTTCCCCATATAAGGTTCCCTTCAAAAAACTGCTTAAACGCTTACTGTCTTAAAAATAGTAGTACAGCGAAAAAAAATCGACATAACTAAGTTTATTACAAGCCAAATTCTCTCTACCAAATGTTTGAAAATCGGTTCATAATTGATCCTATCCCCTTCAGAAAATTACTTTAACGGTCACAACTGGTTTAATAATAGCAGTGTAGTGGTGAAATTTATAATGAAAAAACATATAATATTGATTGGTGAAGGGAAGATTCGGCACAGCCGAATATAAAACTCTTCTTTACTTTTCTTAAGTTTAATATCTATCATATTCCAATTTATAAAAGGTGAATAGGAAACATTTTCAATCTGTTAATAAAAAATAATGACTTTAAAATTGCTTCAAATTAAGAAATTTCACATTTAATGCAAAACAGTTATTTTTAATTTTCATTAAAACCCCACTTTTATTATTTAAATACAGTTTTAGTTAAAAACTATTTAATCACGTTAGTTATATTTAAATCCCTATTATTTCTAATCCCAGCTTCTCCAAAGAGTATTTATACCCTACACCACTTTAGTGGGGAGGGTATATTGGGTTTGTGCTGATGTTTGTTTTTGAGTTATTACCATGTTACTGCAAATGAATGGTAAGCACTATATTTAGCACTATATTTACATAAGAGAGGTGCCCAAATAATATCGATTTTGTTTGCGTTGGTCTCATTTTGTTATTACCAAATTTGACACTTTTCAATAGATTTACGCCACAGGTTCCTGTTACCTAATTGAGGTAAAATTTAACACCTGTTAGTTTTAGACACTAATGAACAAAACAAGATCCGTCCAAACAAAATCGATATTTTTGGGCACCTCTAATATACTTATGTATATACGTATTTACAACTTGTTATTAGTTAATTTATAAACATTGGGCAATTGTATTATCGGTATTTTTTAAATGGGCAATATATTATATAATTGTACTTAGAAGACTTGGAACCCAATTTAAAATTAGTAGCAAATAAAACACGATGGGGTCAGCACGTTTAGTATTTTTACTTATAGGAATTTTTGTCATTTCTACATTGGCCCAACCTACTTCTCGAATTTGGGGTGGAGAAGAAGCTTCCAAAAATGGTTTCGCATTTGTGGCTTCCGTGCGATTGGATGGTGCACATATTTGTGGCGGTTCAATTATTGGAAATAGATCAATTTTAACGGCAGCCCATTGTGTCGTTGAAAATAATAAAACGTAAATAAATAGTCTCATAAGTATGAATATCATTAATATCATATTCTTTTTTATTTTAGAGTTTCTCCAAATCGTTTGGCTGTACGTGTTGGAAGTACAAACCAATTTTCTGGTGGTAAATTGTATTATATTTCTGGCGTCTCGGTACATCCTAATTACGGCGGTGTTAAAAATGATATTGCAGTTTTGACATTAGAATTGAGTTTAGAATGGACGGATCGCATTGCTCTGATAAATATAGCTACGTCATCCACAGATGAACCTACTGCCGGTGAATTAGTTAAGGTGGCTGGATGGGGTGATCAATCATCTGATGTATCATCCCATAAACTTCACACAATTACATTCTCTATTGCCACCGAGGAGGTGTGCGAGGATGCCTTTAGTGGAAAGGACAATTCTACAATTTGCTTAGCGCATGATTTAAAGAAGGGAAGTTGTATCGGTGACGCTGGCAATGGTGCTGTCTATAAAAATAAATTAATTGGTGTTAGCAGTTTCATTGTGGGTGCCTGCGGATCCCGTTATCCAGATATTTTCAGTAATGTCGTTCATTATGCCTCTTGGATTACAAACGAATTGGTTTAATAATATATTTTGACGTACATACATATATGTATAATTCTAATGCAATTAAAAAGTTTTAAATAATTAATATTTTAAATCGTCCAATTTCTTAACCATTTAGATTGATAAAAAAAACTGTTTCGTTTTGTTATATACCATTAATTTTGACCGAATTCTTTTCTGTAGAATAATTTTGAATTCATCCCTTAATATTTCATTCCATACATTATTTTTAAAAATTTTTATTTATATATTTATTATATTATAAAATAACAAAGAATTGTTTCCATTCGGTGAATAGCAAAAATACTTGTCGACTAAAAACTGCTATCTTAAATGGGTTATCTAAAACATGCAAACTACATATACATATATTGTTATGAAAGGAACATTTACTTTTTGTGCAATATTTCCCGAATTAAAAGTTTATTTTTTGTTCTCTTTAAAACTACACTTTATTGGGTTAGTAATTTTTGAATATTGGCTCACGATATATTTCATATATTTATATACATATGTACATTAGGGTGGTTTTAAAAAATCGATATCGGATTTCTTTAGGGGGCATCCCCCTAAAATGTTCATTTTGTTAGATTTTAAGATTGCCAAAGTTTGAGCACGATTGAAAGATGTTAACACGTGCCACTGGGGCCTCAAAGTTTTGAAAATCTCGATTTTTTTGGCAGATTGGCGACTTTGCCGACCCATATCTCTAGAACGGTTTGACATATTTGTCCGTATAGTACATCAAATTGATAATAAATAAAAAATTTGTTAGTAGTACTAAATTCGAGATAATGAAGCCAATGTCCCTAAAACCGTGACTATATACCCCTTAGAGTGAAGATTGAACCTATTGTGAAAAAAACCCAATTTCCTTTCTATGTTATCAATTTTCAGAATGAAAACAATTATGTATTTAAAAAATCAAGTATAATAAATGTCTTTTTCATTTTATTCTTATTTAAATTTATTCAAGTGACTGACATAATATAGGTTTTGCTGCTCGTCCTTTGTAAGTAACTGGTTGTAATCTGTTATGAGCTAGCTTGACTCCTCGCTCTGCCATGACCTTTTTCTAGGAATTTTGGCAGTTGTTTTTTATTTTGGGTCGCATATTTCTGGAGCACTTCTCATTTTCTTCTGCTTGATTTGTAATGATTTTTGTCACCATTTGGCTTTTTACGGTGTTTTGCGCTGTTGGGTCAAACAATGCCGTGGCGCAAAGTTTAGGACTATGATACTACAGGTGATTTATCATTTTATTAATTCCTTTTCTGATATTTTTTTGTCAATGCTTTCGTATTTTAATAACTTTTAAACAAGGCATATAGTAATTTATTCCAGCAATCATTGAAGAAGAATCATAGATTTCATTTTTATTTTTTACCGCATTTGTGTGTGAGAAAAAGATACGGTTGATATTTCATTCTCTTTCTCTCACACGCAAAAATCAAAAGTTTCCCAAAAAAGTTTCCCTGTGTGATCCGGCACAAATCACTTGTTAATTGCCTTCATTTGTTTTTGTACGAATGAGAAGAATAACACAACCAGTTTCCGACTACAATAAACTACGTAGATTCCCAAAAAAGTTTCCTAGTGTAGAAGGGCACAAAGTGTTTTGATTTTCATCAAACCATTGCGTGTGAGTTTTTTGGCGTCATGAACTAACTCCCCAAATAATAATTCCCTAAAAATTTGTTCAGAAAACAAAAACAACGCAATTTGGGGATTTTATTCGTTTTTTTGGGGCATTATTTCACATTTGAAATGGGGAGTTATTTCATTATGAAATAATTCCTCAAAATTCAAAAATGAAATAAATCCCTAAAAATATTTATATGGAGTTATTTCATTATATTACTTTTATCAGGCGAAATAAAAAATGTATGTCAGAAAGCAAAAACAACGAAATTTGGGGATTTAATTCGCTTTTTGGGGCATTATTTCAAATTTAAAATGGGGAGTTATTTCATTATGAAATAATTCCTCAAAATTAAAAAAATAAATAAATCCCTATAATATTTTTGAGGAGTTATTTCATTATGTTACTTTTAAATAAAAAAAATATATGTTTAATTGCCTTCGGCCGGTCGCAAGGGTTATATCATCTGGAGTATATTGGACACCGGCTTCGCCAAGAATACACTCTCTCTGTATCAAGAGCGTACGGCTAAAATGTATTTATTTTATGTAGGAATGTATGTATAAAAGAAAATCAATTTAAATCATATTTTCTCTAATCCAATCAATATTATAGGCAACTTTTGCATATCCATCGGGTCTAGATGAGCCACATTTAATTACTACAAAACCAGCAACTCCGACAAGTTTGCCATTGTACGTAGCAGGTCCTCCGGAATCACCATTACATGCACCAGAACCAGTTGGGTGGTTCAAGCAGATCAAAGCATCAGTATAGAATCCCATTTTTGTTGCACAACTTGTTTTAGATAAGGCTGTCACGGTATACCATTGCAAAATAATGGGCAAATTTGCACCAGCATGCTCCGTTAATCCCCAACCCGATATGACGACGTCCGAATTTGCAGGAACTTCACTGTCATACAATTCTATGGATTGTATTGAATCTGAAAATATTAGTTCTTCTTTTAATTCCAACAATGCCAAATCATTGTAAACAGCATAACCGGGATGTACTAAAACTCTTTTAACGGGTATGATAACACCTCCAGCAATTCGATTAATGGTGCCAGCGCGAATAGTGAAATGTTCAGCCGGATAGCTAAAAATCAAAAATATCCAATTACCCACGTTATTATTTATTGTTTTCATTGAATATTTAAACCTACGGCTCAGTTCCTTGAACAACTACACAATGAGCTGCGGTTAAAACGTATCTATTACTTATAATGGAACCTCCACATATATGGCTATGATGTCGACGTAACGAGATCTGATGAGGAAATTGTTTTGAAATAGCATCATGACCACCTACAACACGACTGGTTATTGGATTTGGTCGTACAATTCCCAGTAACACACTTGACACCAATAAAAATGTCCAATAAGACATTGTTGTTTCGACGTCTTCAAACTAAATAAAATGAAAATCACAAATATTTCTTCTACTTATGTCTATAGATTAGTATCTCATAAAAAGAACTTATTTATTGCCGATCATAAATATTTAGATAATAATTTCTGTACACACACTATACGCAATATACTTACAGCCATAGTCGTATACATAAGTATATTACGGTAATGACTTTTTGCAAATGTCAAAAATACCATAGCAAGAGCTTGTAGGGCGTTAACAGAAGTTAAGGAATACGATATTATTTTTTCGCGGTCGTGAAAAAGATCCTGCACCAAAAACGATAAAGTTTTGTATAAATTTTACTTTTTCTATATGAGAAAAATAAATATTTTGGCCAACATTTTTGCATTTATATTACATTATCTTAAAGATAACATTGCTCTTTAAATCCTTGGTATGGAAATCTTAACAAATCGCGATAATATTGCATGTTATAGAAAATAAAATACTTTTATATGAAAATTATAAAAATAATTTTTGAAAACTAACGAACAAAGGCATTTTCGAAATTGCTTTCGGTGCGGGAAGTTTTTTGACCGCATTGATTTAAAAAATAGCCTTATCTTATCAGAACAGTATTGTCTATAAGGCAGTGCTATGGTATTTTGCCGCCCAAAAAGGTCATAACCCTAATGTACATACATTTAGAAACACCAGTTATAATGCCAACATACCCATTTAAATTTCGGCAGGACTTATGACTTTTCTTTTTTATTTTTTTTGTTTAAATAATTGTGTCAAGGGAATGAGAAGTTGCTAACTACTTCCCAAAGCATATGTTTTTTTAAGTTTGAAGCGCCATTAATGACTTTTGGAAATGTTTAATTACTTTTTAATGGAAAACAATTTTTATAAATAATTTTTTAAACTGAGACTTGGACTTGTTTCATGGTTTTATTAAAAGACAAACATTTTTAAAGAAAACTTTAACGCAATCTGTACACTTTAAGGAATGTATTGGAGACGTTTTTTATTGCAAAAACGTAAATGTTCAATGTCTAAATTTATGCAACTATGACTGTATTTATTTTTAATCGGAAATATACATACATACATACATATGTATGTATGCATGTATGTATGTATGTACATTTAGTTATAAGTAATCAAAGAAATATATCTAATCGTTTGATTAATAGTAGTAGTAAATTCAAGTGTATTATCTATGGGATTAATCTGAAATAAAATATATTAGAGTGGCCCGTATGGAAATTGACTATTTTCCATACGGATCCCAACAATTTTATTAATTTTTAGGAAACGGGTTTCAAAATGTTTGTCCTTGTGCCAATGGCAGTGAACTGGAAAAAAGATCATGATTTATTAGATTTTAAAAATTCAAAAAATAAATAATTTACACCAAAAAATTTCCCGTCATGTCGAATGAGTTCGACATTTAAATATAAGTCGAAATAAAACTGATTTTTTATTTTGAAAATATGCTCTACTAATTGATGCTAAGGTTAAAATTATTTATACTTTTTATTAAATTGAATGTTACATAATTACTGTTCCACGGGATAAGTTGCATGTTTTTCATAACCTTCTTGTAGTTATTGTTTCATTTTTACTAATACGACGGAATTACTCATATATCTGCTTATAAAAATTGCAATTCCAGAGACGTCGGTCGTGACTATTTCCCCAAACTATTTTCATTCAGAATATTAAGAGTTCGTAATATTTGGGTTTCTGTTTATTTAAATATTTCATAAAAAATGCAATAAATGTCTATTAATCTATTTCTATATTGTATTGATGATATCAATACATTGAAGTTTTCAAGATTTAAAAAAAAATTGAAACACAAATGCTGAAATAAAATTAACATTATCAATCATATTTAAACATCCATTCTTAATAAAATCCTATAAACTACGGATCTAAAAATAATAGAAAAATAAAAAAATTTATAAATTTGGAAAAATTCATACCAATTTGGAAATTATTCATAAATATTATTAACTATAGTTATTTTTCGAACATAACTCCGAATTTTCGAATTTTATTTATAATATTTGATTGTTGTCAGATGTACGTACATATGTACATATTTTTGAATACAAAATTTCAACAAATTTCGTATACACGAACTGGTTATATACAAACTTATAAACAAGTTAAGTAAAATAAGGAGGAATTTTTTAAATAATTAAAATTTTAATTTCAACACAACTTTTGTTTGAGGGCACCCTAATGTATCATATTATGCTGCGGCTCAATACTGTGTACCTTGTTACATAACAGTGAAAATGGCAAGTTGACTAAGAAATCGCTGTCACTGTTAATTTATATATTAGATGACATGTAAAAGTACAAGGGTATTACGGAATTACCAAACTAATCAAGTTTTTAATCAATTTAGAATTTCCACAAGATTAGATTGGCAATGGTCATTCCATCGAAATTCTATATAAAGAAAGATTTTTAAAAGTGTGGGAACATTTAAACGAAATGGGCAAAATAACAATATTTACATGTTTTACTTTGAGTATATTGGTTTTGAGCAGAGCTCAGCCAACTGGCCGTATTGTTGGTGGAGTAGATGCTGTTGAAGGTCAATTCCCACATCAAATATCTCTCAGACGTAATGGATCTCACACTTGCGGCGGTTCCATAATAACCCGTAATTATATTTTAACCGCTGCACATTGCGTAGGCACTGAAGATGACAATGGAGTGTACCACGTATTTGATCCCAGTTTATTTACCATTCGAGCAGGTTCCACAAATCGCTTAATGGGTGGTGTTGTCAAACAAGTTGCCAAAATTATTGTACATGAGAACTATGGCAACTTTATAAATGATGTTGCATTACTGAAACTTGATTCAAGTCTTGTTTTTTCTGACAACATTCAACCCATTGCTCTAGCATCTTCTGAAGTTCCTGTTGCAAGCAATGTTGTAATATCTGGCTGGGGACGGTTGAAGACCGGTGGTGATAGCCCCGTAAAATTGCAGTGGAATACTTTGGAGTCAATTTCGAAATTGAAGTGCTTTACATCGATATTCATGTCATCTGATGCTCTTATTTGCTTGGCGCACAATGAAGGTGACGGCGCTTGTAATGGTGACTCTGGAGGCCCTGCTACATTTAACGGTGAATTGGTTGGTGTTGCAGGATTCGTTGTGGGTGGTTGTGGAACTAAAAATCCTGACGGTTACGCCAAAGTATTTTACCACATTGATTGGATTAAACAACATTCAGATTTGTAATTATATTAATCAAATTCCTTTTCGTGGAAAGAAGCATAAATGTTTTAAAGTAGATAGATATGTATTACCACTACTACTACCACATACTATTTAATTTGTCTATAAAATAAATTCAAACAATTTTATTTTCGATCGTCACGTTGTTTTATTTTAGTTTTATTTCAGAACCTACGGTTAGAGATTAGATATAGATATACAAGTTTGAAAAACTGATATTGATTGCGAACAATAGGTATATAAATACTTGTAAACATTAAAAAACGAGTTAAAACAGTTAAAGCAACATTTTAAAAATGTCAAAATTTTCGATTTTACCATTTTTTTACATTATTTTTGTTTGCTATTCCAAAGCTAATCCCCTTAATCGTGTAGTTGGGGGTCAAAACGCACATGAAGGACAATTCCCTCATCAAGTTTCTTTAAGGCGTAATGGTTCACACACGTGTGGTGGTTCTATAATATCCAGGAATTTTATTTTAACTGCAGCTCATTGTGTAGGCACAAGTGATAGCGAGGGAAATTATTATTCGTAAGAATTGATATATTTAAATGTTTAAGTTTATATCTTATACATATACAACTTTTTTCCTAAGGTACGATCCAAGTGTTTTTACAGTTCGTGCTGGTACTACAGATCGATTTCAAGGTGGGGTTTTAATGAGGATTGCTGAAGTTATTACCCACGAAAACTACGGCAATTTCTTAAATGATGTTGCCTTACTACGCCTCGAAGAACCCATCATATTCTCTGACAACATTCAACCGATACCATTGGCTACAACTGAAGTTCCTGTTGGTGGGATAGTGACAATTTCCGGTTGGGGCCGCATTAAACAAGGTGGTGATTCCCCCCAAAAACTTCAGTGGAACGAACTAACTGCAATTTCTCGCAACGATTGTAAAGAAAAAATTGGTATGGATTCAGATTCCCTAATTTGCTTGGCTCATCCACCTAATAACGGCGCCTGCAATGGCGATTCCGGAGGACCCGCATTATATAATGGAGAAGTAGTTGGAATTGCAGGCTTTGTATATAGTGGTTGTGGCTCTTCATACCCTGATGGGTATGCCAAAGTTTATTATCATGTTAACTGGATAAAAAATCATTCTGACTTGTAGTTAAAGTTATTATTTCCCTTAACGCAATTGTAATGTCCAACAAATTAAAATTGTTTATATCTAAAAAAAATACGAGTATTTACTTTACAATAACATATTGTACCTTATTTCAAAAGGTATGTATGTATGTATGTATTAGGGATGCCAAACGGGACTGGCTTTTACAAATCCCGGGATTCGGGATTTTGAAAATTGCAATCCCGGGATCCCGGGATTTTTCGGGATTTCGGGATTACATAAATTTAATTATTTTATACACGAAAATCTTAAATCTTCATGTTTGTGAAAAAAATTGTTTAATCTTGTGGAAATTAATCGACAGAAGATAAATTTAAATTAAAGCAATCCAATTAATTCCAATTCTTAAATAAAAATTTTCAGAATATCATAATTTCAGAAATTTGGTAACTACATACTTCCTAAATAAAAACAAGTAGGAAAGTATAGTCGGATATGGCCGACTATATGATACCCTACACCAGGGGTATATTTTAAAAATTATTTATTTTTCATAAATTTGTTGAATTTTACCTTAATTCCGATGTATTTAAGCAATTTATTGCTAAAAAAACAAAATTTCTAAAAGAGGCTTTATGTGGGAGCTAGGGTCAAATATGGGCCGATCCTCAAAAAATTTGGAAAAGGGATGTAATAATTTTATATAAAGGTTAGTTATGCTGAATGTCATCGCGATACTAATGGTTATAAGTAAGT